ACTTCATTCTTTGATGTTTGTGGAACCGTGAGTCCAGCACTCACATTATCACCAGGGAAAAGCAACAGTGTCAGCAGCTACATGGAGTCGGGGAAAAGGGCTTGACTTGACTGCAGTTGTCCACAGAAGGTGCTACAAGGATATCAGAGAGGAGAAAGGCAATTGAGCAGGCTTGAGTGAGAGCTGCTTGCATTTATTTTGTCAACAACAAGAATACATTGGCACTTTTAGCTGCATGTTATGGCGCACTCAGGCGGCTGAGGCAGGAGAACTGTAGGAGTTTGAGGCCAGTTTAAACTATATAATGAGTTCAAGATCAGAATGGACTGCAGTATGACCCTCTCTCAAAAAATTAAAGACAGGGAATACATTGGCACTTTTTATGGAGCGCTACTGTAACTGGCACAGAAAATTAAACTAAACATTAGGTTTTTTTTTTTTCCTTTAGAGACAAGCAACTTTTGCAAACTTTCTTAGATCTAGGGCATAAATGCCACTCCCTTCTCTTCTCAGCTCAGATGAATGGATAGAATGCAGTTGCCAGCCTTAAGCAGTTGGGACTGTTTCCTTTCCACAGGAAAGGGAGAGCCCTGAAGGTATCTGAGAACCGTAAAACAAGCCCGGAAATGTGATTACCTGTTTCACTCCTGTGCCTTACGATAGAAGACCCTCACACCCCTGCACACAGTGAGACGGTTATTTGAGGCAAATGAGGCCCCTCCAGCTCCTCAAATTCCCGGTAGCAGGTAGGACCTTAGGCCCCTCTAAAAGCAGCCTGGAACAAAGGGCCCATGGGTCCTGTGATGGGTTTTCACCCATACAAAATTCTGCCAAGCCATCATGGCAGCGATCCAACATGGCGTGGGGCTCAAAAAGACAATGTGTCCCACTCAGACTGACTTCCGCCTTCTTCCTCTTCCCACCTGACCTCTTCTTCCCGTTTTCTTTTGCACATGCGCGTCTACCCTTTCCTAGTCCTTGCCTGTAAAGTCACCTAAACCTCTCCGATCACCTCCACCTCCAACCTAGCCCAATCTATTCTTTGTTTCCCAACCTCCCCCTTCAGAGGGTCCTTGCATCTCTTTAGCAGCCCTCCTGTGCCCGGCAATAAAGGCTTTCTTTACTTGTGTTCTTTACCTTTGTTTACCTTTTTTCTGTCTCTCACTCCCACCAAATCTAACATCCTCCATCCTTCTTTTTGGTACCGGGAATCAAACTCGCACCAAACCTAACATAAAGTCTTCTGCCCTGTGTATGTCAGTAATAGTTCCCAGCAGAGATAAGAATGCCTTCACAAAGCCATGCTTAGCGGGAGCACGGAGATCTGCATTCTAGCCTTAATTGGTTATTACGCAGGTTAATAGCCTGAACTGGTCCTTTAACTAGGGCTGTGTCTCAGATTTTTTACCATCAAAATGAGAATTGGTTCAGATCACTATTTGCTAGAATACAATATTATTAGCTATATCCTTATGTTGTACATTTGATCTCTAGATTTACTCATTCTAAGTAACTATTTTCGTACCCTTTGGCCTTTGGCTTCCCATTTCCCACTCCTGTTGTGCTCTTTTCTTCTATGTATTCAATCTTTTCTGTTTGTGATGTTTCATTTTAGATTCCACATATAACTGAGATCATGTAGTGTTTTCCTTTCTGTGTCTGGCTTATTTCGCCTAGTGCAGTGTTTTCTGCCTTTCTTTTCTAAGGATGAATATAATTCGATTATATATATATATATATATATATATATATATA